GTGGGTATCCAGAGCAGCTCAAAAGTTACAAAAGCTTGTAAACATTGCAGCCATGACCCTCGAAAGTACTTTAAATACCAAAAAAAAAAAAAAATTAATGTCCAACAGTAAAGAATCATCATCATCCATATTGCCGTCCAATACTGAACGAAGCCCTCCCCAGTGAGCGCCAACAATCCTGGCAGTTGGGCAGTCCGCATCCATATGCTGCAAGCAATTCAATCTTTATTATATACATTTCTTAATTTTTCATATACCAGTATAATCGTTTTCATTTTATAACTGTGTGTGAATTCGGTAATTAAGGTAATCACATAATTGCTGAAATCAATATTCCAATTATGTAAAAATAGTCCAAAATTGACGGAGAAACCGCGTAACAAACACATAAACATTGTCTTCTGTCTTTAAAGTTGACTAAAAATCGGATCAAGATTACGGATTCCACAGAACACAACTTCAAGAAACGTTAATATTGATAAGCAAGATGTTATTGTTTCGGCTACTCAGTATTTATGTTGAATAATTAACTTCTTGTAATTCAATGAACTAAAACTTGTGACCTTACCATCCGCTTTAAAAAAAAAAGGAATAATTTAATACAATGAACTTAATTGAATAACTTAAATTCAACTGAATTAATGTTTACACATAATTTTCAGGGATCATGACTTTTATATATTTCTTTACATTTAAGAGGTTCCGTTTATAGAATTTAATATCAAGTAGAGACGCTCATTTAGAACTTCTTTCGCTGTGTACACTGGACAATGGAATCGACAAAACCGGTCTTCGTTTTTATTTTTGGTCATATTAAAATGCCGTAATGCTTAATTAAATGATCATTGTCACACTTGTATGAATAAAATCGAGAGCAAAGCGCCGGGTCACATAAAGAAAACTCTTGTGAACAAAGCAAATGTCACTTTTTAATATGTAAATAAAAAAATACTTAGTTTTAAGTACTATATATCTTAGTATCAATATACGGTACCCATGATTTAGTTCTAGAATAGAATAGTTTATTTGCCATTAAACGTTGTCCATAAGTTGTTATAGAAGACATAAGTGCTAACGTTTAGTCATACTGACATGCAAAAAAATACCAGTCATCATTGCAAATTGCATAAAAAATAGTAAAATCAATCAAAAATAAAGTCACGAACGAAAAATAAATTATAACTTAAAATCATCAATAAAATAATTATAAATGTCACTAATACAAGCAAAATAAAATAAAACAAAATATTTAAGCCCTATCGATTCGTTCGGTCATTCAGTGAATAAGAACAGTTTTGTAAAAGCCACGATTTCAACTGTTTTTTTTATTTATTTAGGTAAAGTAATAAATTTAATATTTTCTGGCAACGCGTTAAATACTTTGACACACATGGCATAACAATCTCTCCGAGCCGATTTCGGCTACAGCGACTCCTGGACAGACTCAGCAGATGGCGTCTCGTTGTGCTCGCATATGGCTGTTGTAGCCAATTTTGGCCTTAAAAGTTCTAGAGCATTTTGGACAAGTGAGAACGCCGCCACTATAGTGGTAACTTAAAGCTGTTGGTGGTCTGGCTTTTAGCTCGTCTCTTTTTGTGTCGAGCTCGTCTTTACGTGAGCTTTCAAAGGCGTCGATCTTCTGCCTTACGAGACGTCTCCATTCCGGGCGGTTTGCCGCAGATGACTCCCACGATAAGGGCTCAATACCGCAGCTTTTCATATGCCTTTTAAGCACATCTTTGTATCGCAGGAGCTGTCCGCCATGCTTGCGCTTACCCTCTTGAAGCTCGCCATAAAAGATGCACTTGGCGATCCGTTCATTTGGCATACGGAACACGTGACCACACCAGCGTAATTGACGTCGCATTATATTGCTTTTTTTTTAAACAAAGTTGTTCTTGGTTGATAATTTAAAACCAGTCCGTTTCTGTGTCTTGTGTTCCGTGGAAATACATCATTGGCTTTCCTGAATGCTTTTGGATGAGTAAATATAATACAAGTCAATACACCCAGGTTTTTATAATATAGACAACATGACTCATAGGGCGAGATGCCTGCTATCGCCCTCACACACTTTTTTGGGCTAGCTTTTTATCAGCTACCCGTATTCTGCAGTCATTGTAGATAACGTAAAGTGTCTCTTCCTGGTATGTACCTATTGTATTTATAAATTGAATGACCGTGTGGTGACGGATTAAGAACACGGAATGTCACCACCCCTTTATCCCGTGGGTGTCATAAGAGCCGATTAAGGGAGCAAACTACGCAGGACAACAGCACTGCAAAGAGAAGGATAACTTGATACAAACCCTTTACCAACCAACACGTCTGACCGGCCGGTCAATACGTTTTATTACTTTCATGAATATTTTGTTGTCTAATAAATGTTATTTGTCGTCTAATAAACAGAATCTACATTAAAAAAATACTAGCTTTATTATTGCTGAGATTTTCAGGTATTTTATGTGATCGTGTTTTATTTCTTTCGAGTGTATATTATATTTAACGAAATAATTCCAGAACGTCTTTTATTTTGTTACTGAAAATAGGTTTATTTTAGATTTGCAATGAAAATAGTGACCTATTTCATAAAACGAATCAAATATTTAACGAATCTATTACAGTAACAATGATTGCGTTCGTGGCCATAATATATGCACTTTTAAGGTATTCATGGATTCACTAGCTCGCTTATTATAAAGTAATAAAAACATTGATTTCCATTTGGGTATCTGTATATAAACGAAGCCTCGCGTCAGCATAAGTTCACTTATGTGGTCTTCGTTAGGAGTAATACTTTGTGTTAAGTTATTTTCTACCATAATTTATTCCCATTGGATTAGAATTTTATTGGAATAGTCCCCACTTTATCTTCATTTGTGAGGTAAGAAAAAAGCACAACAACTGCAAATGCATTTGTTCATAACTATTAATTCAAATGATACAATATTAGTACTCTGTAAGTTGACATCTAGGTGTGAAAAATAGTTTTCTCATAAAAAATATATATATAAATTACATTTATTATAATAATTAATTATAGTATATATTATATTATACTTTTTATCTGTTATTTAAAAGAGATACCAAGTAGATATAGTAAAAGCCGACTAGTGTGTACCGCATGTGGTAGTGACTGAATTCTTATCCACGCCGATTTCACTTGCGCATTTAGTGTTATCGATATCAACATCTACTGCCGTTACTTTCTCCTATTTATTTAACTATTATTTTAGGGAAGTAAAACAATTCCCTTTTCACACGTAATGAGTATATTTGTATATTTTATGAGATCTGAAATGCGGAACGAAACTGGCGCGAAAAATAGTTTTAGAAGGGTTGTATTTCGTGTTAAAATTGGAGCTCAATGGGTGCAGTACTTTTTGAGGTTTTAAGGCCTACATAAACCAACTTAACATGCATATATATATATATATATATAAAGATATGGTTACGAATAAAAGACACTGTATATTAGGACCGTATTGTTCATGACATTGCACGTAAATCAATAATTGTTTACTAATCATGCCGTGAATGATTAATAATAAATTAATGTAATCGTAATGAATTAATACTTAATTGCATCGTTTATTCTGACTAGTAGTATCTACACATTACAGAAATGTACTTATTCATGCTTTTGACTTTTAATCTATTTGATTTTCATAATTCTTTTTTCTTTTAAATGATTTTTAAATAAATTATTGGCATTTAGGTTAGTGCATAACTCTCAAAATAATGTTTAAAGTAAAATTTTCCATGAATTTACAAACGCAAGTATTTTTTTTATAAACTTCATTAACCAAGAATTATTTTTTATTTTATCAAATTTTGCAGAACAACACATTTGTCCGAACCTCATTACTGAATATTTGTACTATAGTCTTATAAAGCAAAATATTTAAAGTTAGTTATTGTGTTATGTCATAATGTGCCAATTAATATAATGACGACCTGATGGCGTAGAGGTTTGTGTGAACATTTAATGTTTGATTTGGTCTGGTTGTTTCTGTGTATAATATGTATGTATTTACAAAAAAAAAGGATATATGTATTTATATCAGTTGTCTAGTACACATAGTACAAGCTCTGCTTAGTTTGGTACTAGATGGTGTTGTGTAAATGTGGAAAAAAAATTAAGACTAAAAAATAACAAGTAAGTAATCACATAATATGCTTCGGTGGACGCCTTAGAATGTGGCACAAGACACTACCGTATTTTTAGATATGGATGAATAGGGGTGGTGACACTCTGTATTCTTAATCCGTCACCACACAGCTAATTACAACGTGTTAAAAATAAATAACAGTAAGTGTCTTACCTTATACCAACCCGTTTGGCCAGCGTGGTATAGTCGGCTAAAACCTTGTTCTTAGGGGTACTAAAGAGCCATATCGTATATGGGTCGGGACGGCAAAGAATGTCGAAGAACTCTGGTACTGGCTGAGTGACATGGCTTCCAGGGGTGACTAGTGTCGTCCAAAACATCCATCCATCTCGTCAACAAAAAAAAAACTAAAGAGAGAAGAGAGAGAGTACTAAAGGGACAAGAATAGTGGTACGAATGTACGAACGATATAACTTTTATATTTCAGGTTACTAAACAGTGGGTGGTGGTGGTCGTGGTTTCGATTCCCACCAGTCAGGACCCAGGACCAATAATTGTGATGAGCACGATCATTTGTACTGTGTCTAGAAATATATAAGTACCTATGTTTATCAGCAATCTAGTTACCATAGCACAAGCTCTGACTAGTTTAGCATAAGCTGGACGTGTGTATATGTGTCAAGTTATAATTATTATACAAAACCACAGTGAAAAGCCAGTAAGCTAGCCAAGTTAAGCTAAAAACCCCGTTTATCACTTTGTTAGCCTTCCCCTTCTGTATACGTGTTCTGCCCATACAACGTTCACTTAAAGCTTACGAACTAATGAAGTTTTTTTGTTAAAGAACATCTAAGTGCTTGCGAGATGGCTCCAACACCACAAGAAAATATGCGTCCGGACGTGTCGATACCGCAGCAGGAAGATGGAAACAGGATCGTCATTTCTGGCATGTCGGGTCTATACCCACAGTCACACAATGTCAAGGAGTTTTCAGATATATTGTATAATAAGGTAAATTTCCGAACAATCTTATTTACACACATATAAAATAAAATCAGTTATCAATGGCATAAATATTATTTTTGCATTACTGCACGCTGCATTATTAGTCGAATTGTCTTAGTTCAAGGAAGTGAAAACTGTTATGTAACTGGAAGTTTTCGTACATCTATAATATGAATATTTTAAGAAATATTTAAGTATATTTATCAGCAGTCTGGTTAGCATAAGTTCTGCCTAGCTCGGGGTTAGACGGCCGTGTGTGGGATGTGTAAGGTTATTATAATATTAAACGGATCACCACCTAAATATAAAGTATAAAATTACCCATTTGAATTGAAAAAAAAAACAGTTTCAACTGCTTTTTTTCTAAAATGTACTGTATCTATTTAATCAAAATATTAACCCTCATTATCTCTACAATGCTGCCATTTAAACGGAAGCTCATTTATGCCTCTAACTCTGTTGATCTAGATTTGACAAACTGTGTGAAAGCATTTTGTACTGCCTCCTAGGAAGAATTTTTTTTGTCAGGTAGAAAATTGTCCAAATCACGAAAAAAATGGTAGTTCTTTGAAGCAAGATCTGGCGAGTGCGGAGGATAATGTATTGTTTCTAACTGGAGCTCCTGTAGAGTTACTCGTGCAACGTGAGGTCTTGCGTTATCATGGAGCATTAATGGTCAAGATCGATTCACGAGTCGGGGCAATTTCACTGCCTGACCTGAGAAAGCTATAGTGAAAAACACCATGAAAAGACCACGAAACAGTTTTCATTGCCTTTTATTGGAAAACTTTTCTTTAGGGCACTGTTGCGGCGTTTGACCTGAGGTCAGACACAGCCTCATTTTTCGCTTATAGTTATCGTAAACAATCCCCTTTTCATCACATGTCACAATTCGATCCAATTTTCCTTCATTTTCGTACCGATTCAACAAGGCAACTCATGTTTCAACACGTATTTCTTTCTGCAGATCAGTCAATGTCAGATGGCGTAGTGGTTTAAGCGGTCACCTAGCCGCCTTCTACTGCGCTGAGTGTTGTGGGTCCGATCCCCACATGGGGCAACACTTTGTGTGATCCACAAATTCCGAGTCTGGGTGTTCTTTGTGTCCATTTAATGTATGTTTGTAAAGTCCCCCGCGACACAGGATATATTTCTAATGCGGGAGTTATCTTTTTATGAAAAAAAAGAGAAAAGAGAAATCATGAGGAACCCATTTTGCAATTTTTTTTCTTATTGATTTGATGCAAATTGTAGGTAGGATAACGTTAAACCATATCGCTAATTCCTGGGTTGTTTGATTCTGAGCGGCTTCTTTTTTTTTAATGAACAAGAATTGCAGAAAATGTGGTATTCACAGTAGGTGGTTTACAATGTTAAGAGCGCAAGACACATTTCGCTATATTTAGATAGCATGCAAATTTTTAAAATGATACAGATAAAATTATGAAAAAATATTAATGAAAAATATTAAATTGATTACTAATTTGCTATTTAATTATATTCAGATTGAAATATTGGCAATCATATTAAAAATATTTACTACACTAATGCATTTCTAAAGTGATACAAATGAGTAGAGTACTTTTTTAAAAATCATTACGAAATGTATGATAAGGAAGAGTAGCGCAATATTTTTCGGCAAAACGTTGTAAATAAGAGGTGCCATATAAACACAGCTCTACCTAAAGAATTCTACGCGTTGTATTAGTAATTTAAAATACAAGTGACTATTTTTACGTTCTCCAAACGCAGCGTTGATATTGCAAGCCGTTTCTGCCGTGTTAATTCCGCGTCGGAACTCGTATTCAAAAATGACTCGGCATTTCGAATCAATTGTTCACGTCTAATCTGAATAAAAACAATTGAAAGTAGACAATTTAATGTAGCACATTTTTTAAAAGAAGGACCTCATAGGTATTTTGTAAAAAAAAAGTTTTACACGTAAATCTCACAGAATGAAGGTTTTATGTCAATTCAAAGTATCTATTACTATATAACGGCAATACTTTATTATCCGAAATATTTGGAAAGATCAAACAGAAATCAAACTTAACAAAATAATGTTAGTAAATACATTTATTACTATTTTGAATCACTGTCTGCGCCATTACTTAGTTTCAATAAGAGTTTTGAACAGGTTACTCTATTGTTAATGGCTCACAAAAACGATTCAATGTTATTGAAATAAATACATATAAGTCTCGTATAGTTATAGTATACAAATTTCTGTATAATACAGATAAATCCGGTGACGAACGAAGACCTTCGTTTTAACTACTATCATCCCGAAGTTGTGCAACATACAGGAAGCGTTCCTGATCTCCCTTACTTTGATGCTCAGTTCTTCAAAGTGCACTATCGTCTATCAAATACTATGGACCCCATGGCGAAAAAAGTTTTAGAGCAGACGTATACTGCCATTCACGACGCTGGTAAGTTCATTTTTTTTGCTATTGGGTGCGTACGAGTAGACGAGACACCTGATCAAGCCACCAACCAAACCAAACGAAAAACGACACATTGAACTGAAGAGACCCAAGTTAATAGGCCACTGCTAACAGTGCGTGGCATCAGCAATAACCCTCTTAGCCGCGCGCTACACAAAAGTCAAAAGCTGTGACTAGTAAGGTAGGTAAAAAGATAAAAAGATTATATTTCAACTAAGTTAGGTAATTAGGTCTGACAGATTTCTGTGAAATGGGAAAATAGTTTTCCGTGTTAAAAGTTTTTGTATTGAATAAACAATCGACACATTTGAATGTATAAAAGATTTTTTACTATAGCAGGAGTCAAAAAACTGGCATTTTGATTATACTCTCGATTAAAAATATTATTTAAGATAAAACTTTATTTAGGTATATTAGGTGAGGTAAATTATTTAAAAATTGTATCTTACTATTGTATTTCTTTGTAGGAGTTAATCCGGATCAGCTATCGGGAAAGAAAGTTGGCTGTTTATACAGGCTCATGTTTCTCTGAAACTGAAAAAAGTGCTTATTACGAAGGTGCTGTAAAAGTCGGTTTTAGTATAGCTGGGTAAGCAAAAACCTAGATTTTATGGGTTTATTTAAAATATCCATAACATATCCTTAATACTATCCAAAATCACTTAAACTAAGTATATTAGATATAGCTTTTCAAAATTTGACGAGGGTGCAGCATCGGTAAAAAGAGTAACTGGCACTGATGAGCTGATGGCTGCACTTCTTGAGTTAAGCTCTTGTAAGGCTTCAAAACCGGTCGGCCTTGACCGAAATACATATAAAATACAAACCAGTATATATAATCGTTATGAATTTGTATATATATAAGTGTATGCTTTTAAAAACAGGTGCAGTAGAGCAATGTTTGCGAATCGTATCTCGTATTGGCTAAACGCAAAAGGTCCATCAATGTCTATTGATGAGGCGTGCTGTAGTTCTACCGCCGCATTGGAGCAAGCGTATCTGGCTCTAAGTCGTGGAGAATGCGAAGCTGCCATAATTACTGGTACTTTCTTATGTTTGCATCCACAGTCATCAGTGCACTATGGAAGGTATATTTTTTGTTAGTGTTACACTTAATGGGACTGTTTGCTGTGTTTTCGTTTATATTTTTTGTTTAATAATTTCCAGAATTATTAAAATGTGCAATGACGGTAAGACAAAGTCTTTCGATGAGAACGCAAATGGTTGCGCAAAGTCTGAAGCTATAAATGCTTTGTTTTTGCAAAAGGCGAAGGACGCCTTGAGGTAAGTTATACTTGCAAAACTTAATTTTAAAATGTTTGGAAAATCTCATGCTTAAAGCATAGTATAGTATTTTATAAGATTTTATGGTAAATATGTCAGACAAATATCAAGTAAGTAGGTCATCTAACATAATATATTAACGATATAAAACATCTAATCATAACGATATGTCTTCATAGTATATGTAAAATTTTATAACTTATATCTCCTGAATATTTTTTTAGAATATACGCTGAAGTCTTGTATGTTAAATCTGAATTTACCGATACGATGAAAACAGAAACTGGTCCCAAATATGGATTCTATAGAAACCTCAGTAGCACAACTAATTTTATTAAGAAGTTCTACGACGAAGCTGGAGTTCCACCTGAAGCTATTGAATACGTTGAAGCTTTCGGTTCTGGTGAGATTTTTATATACTACTTTAATGTTAAGAGAGTTTCCTTTGTCATTTAGGGATTTTTGTATTACAGCCCAACCTGAGGCCGACAAGGTTGAATTAGAAGCTATTGAAGAAGTATTTTGTAAGAATAGAAACGACCCTCTCTTTATCGGTAGCGTCATGTCTAATATTGGGTATGGAGAAGCTGCTTACGGAATATCTGCCATTACAAAGGTATAATAATTAAACATACATGTTAAGCTTATGCTAGACCGATGTACTAATGATATAAAATACCTTTATTAATTATATTTTTGTTTAGGTGCTATTGGGCTATCATAATGGGGCACTAGCAGCCAATTTGCATTTTGAAAAACCTCGTCAAGATATTGCAGCGTTGCGCGAAGGACGCATGCGCGTTATAACTGAACATCACAAGTTTGGCCGTACTTATGTTGGTGTAAATGGCATGTCCGTTACGGGAGTAAATTCTCATGTTTTACTACATGGATGTTATAAGCCCAAGGTAAGTGGATACGTGCACGCATTTGTCTTGACAGGAAATAGTAAAAGGGGTAACTCGGTAAGTTTAACTTATGACCTCGAAACAATAACTAACCAAGATTTGCCCTTAAAAGGCCAATTTATTAAGCTTGCTTGTGTAAAGAAGTGAAAAATAAAGGTGACTAAGTATTATTTACATTTCAGGATTTAAGTCGCTACAAAACTAACATTCCATACTTGGTAACTGTATCTGGTAGACACGATGAAGCTGTAAAATATATTCTAGAAGATTTAAAATCCAACCCTATAGATCCTGAGCAATTGGCATTGTTAAACAATATTCATCGAACAAGCGTCACCGGACATTTGGGGAGAGGATTCACTATTTTGCGTAAGTTTTGTAGCTTAGTTTAAGAAAAAGTATGGTACTTGAAGTTAGAGACATACTTTGAATAGAATTTTATAGAAATACTTTGATGGTAATCCATTATCGCTGCGTACACTTAATACACCATTATTGTAACTTGGCCCGTTTGTTTTTTGAATAACCTAAGGTTAAGCTAACTACTTGCTTTTACGTTTCTCTATTAAACTTAGACTATCGTAGATAATATAATTACCGACACATTACGTAATTATTAAAGTATATTTTTGACTATGTAAAAAAATTGAAGAAATAACTTTCAGAGACGAACAAAGATCAGAAAACTATTAGTCTACATGAAAACGTGGATTATTTTAACAATGCAAGACGACCATTATGGTTCGTTTACAGTGGAATGGGATCGCAGTGGGTCAGTATGGGTGAGCAACTTATGTGCATACCCATTTTTGCAGCTGCCATAGAAAGGTATGATAAAATATTGTTTTTAACCAGCAATCTGTTTGTTATAATATTCTGAATAAGTCTTTAAAGCTACTCATTTATTTCTCTTCAATTCCAGATGCCGAAAAGTTTTAGAAACCAAAGGCCTTGATGTTGTCCATATTATTACCTCCCACGACGAGAATATTTTTAACAATATTCTCCACTCGTTTGTGGGAATTGCTGCGATTCAAATCGGACTTACTGACATTCTTCATGAACTTGGCCTAAAGCCAGATGGAATTATTGGTGAGAGTGTAGCTTATTACAATCAAATATAGGCTGATATGTTATAATAAACTTATCAAAATAAAAATTACAAACATTTATTATAGGCCACAGCGTGGGTGAATTGGGATGCGCATATGCTGACGGTTGTTTAACGACGGAAGAAATGATTTTGAGTGCATACTACCGTGGGTTGGTCTCGGTGGAAACTAAGTTCATACGCGGTTCCATGGCTGCAGTTGGTATGGGTTACGAACAAGTGAGTTACAATAAAAAAAAAGTCAACTAGATAAAAATGTTTTGCATTTGGATGCATACATGAGCCATATTCAAAATTGAAGGGAACTTTTCATTTTTTTAAATATGTATATGGGGTCTACCAATAAGAACGTCCTGGTTTAAAAATTGAATAATACACACTAGACCCAGTATATTCATCTATATCATAGTGTTGTCCGCTTCAAAAATCACCTTTCTTTTTGAACTCACCTCATAAGTATACAATGTTTAATTCTTATTTCTAGATATCACAAATTTGTCCTCCGGAAATTGCAGTAGCTTGTCATAATGGACCTGAGTCCAGCACAATTTCTGGACCTGCCGATATTATGCGCGGATTTGTGGCAGACTTGACAAGCAAGGGGATCTTTGCTAAAGAAGTGCCGTGCTCCAACATCGCTTACCACTCACGTTATATAGCTGACGCTGGTAAGATGTAATTTATTTACATAATATAAAATGAAGTAGCTTTATTTTCTTGTACGTTTAGTTCTTTCAAACTACGCAACGGATGACAAAGCCATCTTTACCAATAAAGAAAATGATTTGAGAGGCAGGTTTATATCTAAAATACATTAATATTTTAGTAGAGGAAATCCGAGAGTTTCAAAGATTTTTAAAGTGAAATCGTAAAAAAACACGTTTTTGTGCGCTAAGGTTCATTATAAACGCCCTATAAACCTTGTAGATAGATGTAAATAATGAACTACGGAATTGTATATCATAAAAAGATCTACAGAAATGTCCGCAATGCTATATGCCTATTTTCTAAGGATAACCCACAGTAACCATTTTAATCTTTTAAATAATCAAAAAAGATCAAAATCTCTTAGATCACAAAAATAATGGGTAATTTACGAAGCTACAAATATTACATTTAGAGATGTACTGTAATGTAGTCTTATAATAATAGTATAATTAATTCTTCCACACTGATGCTACATTAGTATTGTTAGTAGTATCTACATTGCACCCGTGCGTAGCCAGGGTGGATCGCTAGTATATTATAAGATGTTAATTTGGTTTGTGGATGCTTCAAAAACTCTTAAAGTTCTGCAGGAATTGAGCTCAAATTTTAGCATGATATATAAACCGCTTTAAAGATTGGTTTTATCAATATTTTACGACTGTTTTGGTTCACATTTCTCATCAACACAACCACAACGTGTTACAGCGAAGTGTGGCAGGGTACAGCTAGTGCATTTATATTTATTTTCATTATCTAATAACCAGTATATGAAAACTGATTTTCATTTTTGACTGTGTTTGTAGCCATTAATTATGTCTGTGTAATTAAAGCAAAGATATCGAATACAGGTCCCGGGCTTCTGAAATATTTACAAGACGTAATTAGAACTCCAAAACAAAGAACCGAGCGCTGGCTTTCAAGTTCTGTACCACAAGAAAAATGGAATGAGTCTTCGGCAAAATACTGTTCCGCAGAGTATCTTACGAACAATTTACTGGTAAGAATTGTAATGTTGTCTTCCTTTCAAAGTCAAAATCAATGTCAAATATTTTTAACTGTTTTACCAAATTCCTTAAGAATTGTTTGAAGTCGTCTTTATTTTGTATGACAATTTGTAGATCATATTAGGTGTAACAGACCTTAATGTAGTCTAGACAAAATGGGGTCTTAGATAATTTCATAATTTTGTTGTTCACGTGATATGGAGACTTAAGAAAGGTCTGTAATCTATTACGATCGAGACTATTTTAAAATCTCTTAATGGTGTAACTTGATACTCAAAGGATTGAGCTCAACGATGTAAGAGATATATACGGAGATCATCAGTTGATTGGCTCAAGTGAAACTAATGTCCGGTCAGTCAATAAGGATTTTGACGTAGTGGGTCCATTATGCAATCAGATAACCCTGGCTAGTTAGATTCTCGTAGAAGCAGAAAAACCCTATAGGGCCTCAAAAGTATTCTAAGGGCGACCGCGTACCAGCGAATATACTTGACCGTAGTTTGACCACTCGATCAAGTATGCACGCGTTATACTGGAGCGTGAATGAGTTTTCGCACTCCATTATAACGTGTGTGATTGTTTTTATTCCGTGTTAAGATATTCACTTCACTAGGTGCTGATTCATGCCCAAATGGCACGTATTGGTTAATATAACTATTCAGATGATGATCGTCTTAGTAGATTATTTATGCCAGATTGCCATTTTTGTTCAGTTGTTCCCCATGTTGTTTAGAAATCAGGTCGCATAGGGTAGCTATTGGCAGCACTAATTGCTTTCATATTTTGGAATTGAAACTCTAGGTTGTACTACAGGCAGTCATCGCCGAGTGGGCAGGGCGGCAGCACGGGACCCTTTCCTTCCGGCTGACGCAGGTGCTTTCCGGGCACGGTTGCTTCGGAAAGTACCTGTACTCGGTCGCTAGGAGGGAATCGAGTCCCGCCTGCCACCACTGCGACTGCAGGGAGGATTCGGCCCAGCACACGCTGGCGGTTTGCCCCGCATGGGCGACACAGCGCCGGGCCCTCACTGCAGTCATCGGAGCAGATCTCTCGCTACCGGCTGTAATTCGCTCCATGGCCGGTAGCGGCAGTTGTTTTACCGCGGTCGCAACCTTCTGCGAGGAGGTAATCTCGCAGAAGGAGGCGGCGGAGAAGGCCCGGGAGGACGATCTCCACTCGGACCTGATCCGCCGCCGGCGAACCGGGCGGCGGAGACGCGCTTACCTGCGCCTCATGCCGCCCTGAGTATGGCCGCGGGTGGACGGGATGGGTTCTCCCCTCCACCCGCATTAGTTGGCCAGCCGCGAGGGGGCGGCGTCCGCGTGTGCCGGACGTCGCGGGAGCGGGCCCGCGCTGGGAGGGGTCCAGAAGGCGATAACTACCTGGACCCCTCCTAAACTGGAAGCGCAAAGAGGGCACACCGTGTGGTTTTAGTCGGTTCGAGTCCGACACTCCGCCCCGCCGAACGAGAGCCCCGGCGGGGTGACGGTCCGAGGGGATTTCCACACGAAAAAAAAAAAAAAAAAGGCTTTTTGGACTTTACACATTGGTCACAGCCAGGGGGGGTGGGGGGGGGGTGAACTTCCAAGAGGCGGAACGCCCATTGAGGCGCTGGGCTTACGGGTGTCCCTGGATAAGTCCGAAACCCTCTTATTTCATGGGCCCAGTCGTGGTCCTCCCCGTGGCACCTCAATCGTTGTCAACATGGTCCTCGTACCGGTTGAGGCCCAGATGAAGTGTAGTAAGCCTGATCCTCGACGGGAGGTGGCTCTTCGACGAGCACTTCCGACAGCTTGCTCCAAAGTTGGTCGCCGCTGCATCTGCCCTTAAGCGAATTTTGCCTAATCTGGGTGGACCCAGCGTCGCAACGAGACGGCTGTACACCGGGGTTGTCCGGTTAATGGCACTGTATGGCGCACGGGTGTGGGAAGCGGCTGTGACCTTCCAAAATAAAGCACGCCTTTGGCGTATCCAGAGGGTATTGGTGGTTAGAGCCATACGTGGTTACCGCACCGTGTCGACGGAGGCAGCGTGCGCGTTGGCCGGAACCGTGGGATTTGGAGGTGGAAGTGCTCCAGCCGGTTATCGTCGAATGGGCAGTGCGGCAGCACGGGACCCTTTCCTTTCGGCTGGCGCAGGTCCTTTTCGGGAACGTCTGCTTCGGGGAGTACATGCACTCGGTCGCTGGGAGGGAACTGAGTCCGGCCTGTCACCACTGCGATTGCAGTGAGGACTCGGCTCAGCACACGCTGGCAATTTGCCCGGTTTGGGCGTCGCAGCGTCGGGTCCTCACTGCAGTCATCGGGGGAGATCTCTCGGCGAGGCGACTCCGACACACCACTCCGCCGGTGTGGTCACGGCCCGAGGGGGTTTCCACACGTAAAGAAGTTTTTTTAAAGAAGTCCGTTCTGAAGGTTTAAAGTAACTGCAGGTTAAAGCTATTAAAAAATTAAAAAAATTAAAGCTATTAATATAAAATTGTTTACACTTCGGTGTGACCGATAGATAGTGATAATGGCTACTTCAGTGCCAAATTTAAAGATCAAGCAGTTAAAACATTTACCTGAATTCCCTGGCTGACATATGCTACAACCACATTGTTTTGGTTTCCAAATTCTGAAACATATGGTTCAAAGCCATCACTCGGTTAGGACAACAACATCAAAAAATATTGTTGTCCAATGCAGCAAAACCAAGAGGTTATTATAATTTTTGACTGCACGGATGGCGTAGAACTACGCCGCTTTGTGTGATCCACAAATTGTTATTCTGAGTCTGGGTGTTCTTTGTGCCCGTTTCATGTATGTTTTTAAAGTCCCCGCGACACAGGATATACAATAATAATGCGGGAGTTGTCTTAAAAAAAAATACTATTACCTAAACTTCTTATATTGACGTGGAAAACTTTAAGGCAACTGTTTTCGTTGTTTAAGTAGAAAGCACATTGCGCTGTAGAACATATTTATGACTGGGACACTGATATATTATCTAGTTCTTTTGCAATTGTTTTTCTATCAGCCATATGAAGTTATAAATTTAATATTTGTATGTATTTGATCTACAATAGGTAAAAGATACGTATTGTGTGTCCGTATTTCGAAAATCGTTTGAAAAAGTGTACGTACGTGAGGTGTGAAACAGTGTAGTATGTGTGTGTAAAGTGGGTTCGCGTTTTGAGTTTGGTACATAAGTAAAAATAATTATAAAACAAGTATATAACTAAAAATAGTGCATTCAAAAACCATTGCAGCTTATGATAAAAGGAACACAGCAATATTTCCCTTTTTAGCCGTATTTTGCCATTCTTCACCCAGCAATAGCGATAATCATTACTTCTGGCAAAGTTCCTCGCCAAATAGAATAGTCTTTTCATTTTAGGCGTTAGGTTTTCAGAGAAAATACCTTAATCTTTATAATTCATTAGCTCCATTACCAAGGAAGAACGAGAAGAAGATCAAAGATTAGATGAATCAGGTTTATCAATGGGTGGGTGTGGGGTGGGTGTACTTTATCTATAATATGTACGTTTTTAGAAATTTATAAGTATATGTTTATCAGCAGTCTGGTTACCATAGTACAGGCTCTGCCTACTTTGGGATCAGACGGCCGTGTGTGAGAGGTGTGAAAATATTATTATCATTCTCTTTATAACATTATATAAATACACATATTGATTCCATTTTTAAATATGTATATTACAAAAGAGAAGAAAAATATTATTAAATTATAAATACATACTAACTGACCCGGCAAACGTTGTTATGCCATATACATTATTTCTAGTGGTGGGTCACCCTTGTCATTTAGTGGTATGAAACATAGATGTTAGATGTCAGATCTACCCGATGTGCACACAAAATTTCATAAAAATCGCCCCAGCCGTTTCAGAGGAGTATGGGATCTAACATTGTGACACGAGAATTTTATATATAAGATTAATTACATTTAAAATATAAAAAAAATACCACCACCAACATCGGGTACAGGGACCAGGTCATCGGTGGTTAGGACTCCAAAGATAGGAACCTCCTCACTATACGAGCCGTGTCAAGGAGGACTGCCGTCTGCATCAGACCCTTGATCCAGCCGTCCAACGTGAGCCTCTCAAGGTGTTGGTCGAGGCTCTTGGCTATCAATCCGTAAGCAGATTCGACTATTGGAACAATGATCCTGGTTCTGTCTATAATAAGGAGGTCTTTAGTGCCACGGGTCCCACTTCTACATCCATTCTGAGAAACTGACATAATCGAATTATTATTAATGTGTAAAGTAATTTAGAAGTTTATACATGGTTGGTAAACATAAAAATTTTTGGGATCCATGACACCACCAGACTTATAGAGTAAGTGGGTTATACCAGTGGTTAAATATTGGGGTAATGAACCCGAATCCAAAGCTGCTTGGAATTAAGATGCCAAACACGCATGTGAGCTTCGAAACCACTTAAGCCAAAAGTTGTGCAGTCCGTCTAAACCGGGTGATTTCCAATTCGGTAATGAACGAACTGCACAGCTTACATCATCTTTATTAATTATAACAGGTTCCATATGTGTTATAGACTCACCATGAGCGTCTGACATCCCGCAACCAATCTCCTTCTATATGAATGACAGGCACCGACCAGATTTTACGCCAAAATATATTTCTGACATTTTCATCTGGTAAATGCCCATCACTCACACATGGATCCGGTTCCTCCCATTTCCGGTACACCCACTTCTCATTTCTTTGGAACATCCGATTCTGATTATACCGATCTGTTCGTTTTTATACCGTCTTATCCTATTTGCCCATGCATAAATTTTCTGCTTTAGGAAGTCTATGCGCTCTGTGACATAATTATGACATGTACTGTTGAGGACTAATGGTAGGCCCCAAGAATGCCTGTTACACAAAGCGCATCACTCTCGGCCGCGTATTCCCTGATCGAAAACTAATTAGCTTACTAGTACCAATAAGCTAATCAATTATTGTTTATTATTAATTACTTTAGCATAGTGGGGCCACAAGGTTTATCATAAAGTTATATACTTGGTAAACATTCCAATGCGGCCGTCTTGGCGAGGAAACTACCGATTGTCATATTACTTGTTTTGCAGCTATGAATAATGTTTAAAAAAATGCATAAATGTCCCAATTTCATTCATTGTTATATTCAGTGTCGATTAAATTGTACTACTTATTCAGAATTCAGTGCTCTTCGAGGAGGCTTCACGACTAGTGCCTAAAAACGCTGTGTTAGTGGAAATCGCACCACACGGACTTCTTCAAGCGATTCTCAGACGTTCAATGCCAGCTGACTGCAAAAATATACCACTGACAAAGCGAAAACATCCAAATAATACAGTTCTATTGCTTGAAGCTATTGGCAAGTGAGTTATAAACACGTTGTTAATAAAACTGATAACATTTCTGTTAATTGTATTTCATTTGTAAAGGTTGACATTGGTTTTAGATTGTACATGGAAGGCTACGATTGTGACGTTCAGGTTTTGTATCCAAAAGTCGAAATGCCAGTTTCCACTGGAACGCCTTTCCTTTCACACTTGGTCAAATGGGCTCACGATGAAGAATGGTATGAATACTTTATCAAAGAGTTAGTTTTATACTTTATAATTTATCTGTTTAATATAACTAATTTCGTGTATATCTTGTCTATTTTAAGGCCCCTGGTACTTTATTCTTCAGCAGACAGAATAGTCGCTTCCAATTGCAATTATGTTCTAGCCTTGCATGATCAAGAACATAAGTATCTTGCAGGAAATTTTATAAGAGGTAAATATATTTAGATAATGTTACATTATGTATTTCTTACACGTTGTTCTTTCCGTAAGAAAGCCATGCTTCGGCACAAACGGATCAGATCAACCGGGTTGATTCCACAGCCTGCTTTTCACCGAGTGAGTGAGGTTACCGAAACTGAATTCCCCCTCCCCCTTTTTTTTCCGTGCCTAAATCCCCTCGGATACCACCTATCGGTGGCATGCTCGAACCGACTAAAACCGCACGCCGTCTCGGGTACTAATAGCCGGGGAACCAGGTATACCCTAGAAATCTGAATTCCCCCTAAAATCAAGGCAAGTAGAGCTTCTCCCTAATTATGGGGGATGGGACACACTTGTTACTCTTGAGTTGGGTTGCAGGTGTCCGTGTGCGCAGGTGGACTCACCATCGTGTGACTCGTCCACTTGTTTGCCCCTATACCATAAAAAAAGGACTCGTATGTGAATACATTTTTTTCCTACGTCTTGTTCCAGCTACTCGTTAATACAAAATCTGTCATTGCAAAAGATTTTAATTGATAATAATTGATTTCACTGAAATTAAAAATTAATTGAGATATAATTTAATATTTCAATACTTAATAGCATTTTAACGTATAATATCGTATAAATCAGATTTGCTGAAGTGTTACATTTAATAGTACCCTTATGAGACCAGATTAACAGTAACAAACATTATTTTTAAAGGCTCTACTAATGGAGGACACTAACCCACGTTTCTTGGTTTATTTATAAGCTACTACCGCGCGTATATCGGTAACCGCAGGAAAAAGTAGTCTATGTTACTCGCTGATTATGTAGCTTCCACTGGTGAAAGAATTTTTAAAATTAGTTTATGGTTTAGGCCTGAACGTGTAACAAACAAACTTATTTTCACATTTATAATATAAGTGTGAATTTTATTCTCATATTTTGAAACTATGTTCGCAGGGAACACACTGTACCCATTTTCTGCTAGTTTAACGCTAGTGTGGGATGTACTTACCATGATAATGAATGTCCCGAGGAAGCAGTTATCAGTCGAGTTTAGTTATGTACAATTGTACTCACAACCCGTGCTCCACGAACGACGACAGCTATATCTTAACGTCACAATACAAAGAGGAACAGGAAAGTTCGAGGTAAATGAAAATCTTGAAGAAACGTTAGGACTTTTCATAAGATATCACTTAGAATATTGAATACTGAAATACCCAGTTCGGTTTTATTGTATAGATAAGATGAAATGATCCTCCAACCAAATGCACAACGCAAACATATCCACTCTTCCGTAGAAAACGGAGATCCAGCGAAAGTCTGGAAATTTCTAAGAACATTGGGAGTCGGGAAGTCTCGCCAAGACTCTATTCCTAAAAATATTAATATTGAAGTACCTAATAAATACTTATCCGCTTCGTCTGATAATAATGACAAAACTAAAGCCAGTACTCTTAAATATATTTCTTCTACCCCAGCTCCTGATTATCCACCATCGGTCTTTGATCAATTGTCTGATTGTGATGTTAAGAAGAACATTCTAGCGATTTCATCGAATGCAGTGGGAAGTGACTGTATCAGCCGAAACATGATTCTTCCTATCCTTGACGAAATTCTACCCATCCTATGTAATATCCTGAATCACTCCATGACAAGTGGTATTTTTCCGTCTGCGTGGAAAGATGCTCCAATAATCCCACTACCTAAAAAAGCTAAACCCTCATCATTTTCTGACTATAGGCCCATATCTATTTTACCTTTCCTATCTAAAATACTCGAACGCCTCATCCACTCTCAACTGAGTAACTTCCTTTCCAAAAACTCTTTACTAAACCCCTTCCAATCCGGCTTTCGTCCTGGTCACAGCATGACTTCTGCACTTGTATACATTACAGATAGTATAAGACTGGGCATGGATGGTAGAAAGATTACGGTACTCACATTACTTGATTTTAGCAACGCTTTTAATACTGTGGATTTTCACATTCTGCTTGGTATACTGCGGACTCTTAACATATCTCCAAAGACAATTGATTGGTTTCATAGTTACCTGTCTGGTCGTCGGCAGCGTATTTGCATTGAAGACTCCGTATCTTCCTGGTGCAGTATTTCTGCTGGTGTACCGCAGGGTGGAGTTATAATTACGGACTCATCACGTTTCTGAATTCCGTCAAAAGCTCAAGTGGCTTCCGATTCGCTCTCGCCGGAATACTCATATCCTCACTTTTCTTTATAACATCTTGTTCAATCCTAGAGCACCCTTTTACCTCAAAGAATGGTTCGAGTTCCTTAATGACACACATGATAAATGTCTGAGGTCATCCGAGGATTTGGGGCTGGAGATGCCTCTGCATTCCACAAAATTCTACGACCAATCTTTTACTGTTGAAGCTGCACGTTTGCGGAATTCATTGCCGATAAACATCAGGCGAGCGCAAACGATAAACAGCTTTAAGATAATGGTTCAGGAATTTCATAAACTTTTATTTAGTCAATTACGCGTCAAGACATGATAAGAACGTTCCTTTTCTTTTTTTTCGTCTCTTTTATGTGATATACTTAACTAGCTATATATATATAAGTAAAAGTAAAAGTATATGTATGTATATGTGTATGTATATTGTATATGTGTTTATGTGTAAATATTTATTTAATTTTACAATTGCACCTTCAACTACTACTGTCTTTCCAAAACATTTTAATCCATCCTAAGGTTGCCTGGAAGAGATTGCTAATAGCAATAAGGCCGCCCTTTGTACATTACATGTCTGAAATTTTTATGTACCATAATACTTGTAAAATGTGTGCTAATAAAGAGTTATCTATCTATCTATCTATCAACCATGCAATGCTAGGTGACTATATCCGGAGGACATTGCTGTTAGGTAGTTGTCTATACATATTAGAAATTTACTAATCATCATCAGACTTAGCAATTTTGGGTTAGAGTTACTAAGTACCAGCCCTAGCTAGTGGATGTCACTCCAGAGTGTTAAAAACTCTAATTTACTTTTATCCTTTGTAAAATTGGTAACAAGGCAAGTTAACATTCAATTGTAAAATTAAAAAATAACGTGAGATAATGTCTTGAATTGCAACTTGAAAATAAACTGATATTGTCACTTCTAGGCGTGCTACTGAACTGCTAACGTGGTTGAACAAATTTTTGGAATTCATAATGTTTTTAAGTTACCCTCACTATATTTGTGTAAGAAATTGTTTTGTTGTTATTTTATTTCAATTACTTTTTTCGGTATCACAGCTAAATCAATGAAACTGTAATTAGTTTTTCTCATGTAAGTGAATAGTGAATGTTATTCCTTGTAAGAAATAAATGATCCTTAACCTGATATTAAAGCTGATTAAGTCACTAGTACGTGAAGAGATGTGGCGAATGGAGTAGAATAAGTTGTCAATAGGATCCTCGCAAAAATCGGTGTAAAAAAAGAATAAACTGCAGAAAATGACAAACACTACACGACAGACACGAGATAATTGGTTTATTAAAAATATTTTATTATAGATTTTGGATGGTCGCTCTAAAGTTGTAACAGGATTTATAAAACCCCTAAACGAAAGCAAAACGGAATGTGTGGAGAACGATCTCAAGAAAAATATGTGCTTCAGTGCTGCAGATATTTATCAATTGTTACGTGACAGAGACTATTTTTATAGGTACGTTAGTGTCGAATAAACTGAATGTAGAATGTTTGTTGCATAAGCTCAAGATAATCAAGAATTTGTTCTGTACTTTATGTAGTGGCGAGTTCCAAAGCATTGCTTGCGTTGATGAATCTTTGAGCAATGGCATGCTTTCGTGGCGTAACAACTGGGTAACGTTCATAGACAGCATTCTACAGCTAAACGTGCTACGACAATCTCACCATAGCGTTTCCCAACCCAACAGTATCCGGAGCATAACTATTGACGTCGATCTTCACAGTAAATCTGTTCTAAAATCGAAAGTTTGTGAAGATAATGTTCTGATGTGGGCTCAAATCTCCGATGAATTTGAAAACACCAGGTAATGTAATCAGTAATTAAAGTTTTTAATAACTCTTAATATATGAGAAGGCCTTGTGCCAATGTAGAGCATTCGAATGCAACATCTTGGCATTTGTCGCAGTTCCGGTTCCCGAATTGTTCAAAGTGTCTATTTAATAATATTTAATGAATTTTATACATACCTAGGAGATTTACAAAAATAGATATAATTATATTTTTTGCCTTTGTACAATAAATATGTAGGTGTAATGGGTGTATAGTAAATTAAACACGTACTCGTAACACAAACGTCACATCACATCATATCAACAGCCTTTAATAGTCCTCTCCTTTTTATAGATTATATTTATTATATTTAGATTATGGATTAGTACAATAGTTTAGGGGGCTTAGATAGAGAACAGTTCAGGAAGAATACGAAACCGAAAATAAATCCGAATTACCACTAATAAAACGAGGTACTAGCTTAGCAAATATTCAAGCGAACTACCGCGGAGTGTGCGTCAGGCGAAAGTAAAAAAAAACTGTTGGGTGGGAGTAGACTCAAAACGAAGCTGGGCTGGCGCCTCTAAGCGGACCCGAAGAATAGCTGTTCCGCTTTAAATACTACAAGTTCTAGTAATAGTAGTTCTTAACGTTGGTTTCGGTCTTCAAAATACTGTATTATATTTTCAGGAATATTTTTATTGCATTTAGATGTAAACTTTCCTAAGTGACTTTTTTTAACCAACTTAAAAAAACAAAAGAAGTGGTTTTCAATTCGTCTGTATTTTTTTTGTATGTATGTTACGCGATATCTCCATTAATTCTAGACCGATATTCAAAATTCTTTTTGTAATCAAAAGGGTATGATCCGGAGGTAGATTACCGATAAATCAGGATCTGATGATGGGATCTTAGAGGAATCGAAGGAAACCCTCCTCCTCCTTCAACGTGTTTTAGCTTATTTCTCTAGCTTTACAGGTATTTGCGTTTAGTAGTTGTTATGTCATGTTGCTGAGCTGATGATGTCCTTGGCCTTTAGGAGTTATAGGATAATATTTCATTCTTAATTTTTTTATTGTGCTTATATAAAGCTGACATGAACTATTATTAATTTTTGTGCATCGGGCTTGGCACCGACTTTAAACAGACTAGAGGGGCCTATTACTATTATAATGTTACCTGTTATATTGAGGGTACTTATTATAGTATTTTTTACTTAGATTTGTAATTATTTTTTTAATTTTTAGTGCTCTTTGTCAGTATTGTTTGAAGTCGGTTCAACTCTTTATTTCATCATCATCATCATCAGCAGCCTTTAATATTCCACTGCTCGAAATATTTACTTTAACCTTCAACTTTATTTCTTTAGATCAATTTTATGTTTTGTTATTTAGGTGTGGTGGAGTTATCATGGAATCTATTAGATTTCAACATCTTTCACCGGACAACACCACTAAATTATCATTGAAATCATCGAACTTCGTATACAATTTTCAATCCATGCTTGATGTAAGTAAATATTATAATTAGATAGTTGTTTTCTATGGTAAAACGTTTTAATTTAACTACTGTACCATACTTAATTTATAGATTTCTTCATCACTTCAAGTTTTCTTACAAATAGTAGCTGAAAATGTGAACAAGGAAGTAATAACCGCAGTTGGAATACGGAATCAAGCTAATAAAGGGTCTATCTTCAAAGAAATAAATGATGTCATTAAAAACCTGTACAAAATTAAGGTTAACTACAAACAAATAACTCTTGAAATGGCAATGGATAGTTACGAATTCGGAAATGAAGATTTGATACTTGTTCAGAATTTATCAACTGATGAAAACGTATGTTATTATTATTATTATTTACATACTTATTTAATACTTTAATTTTAATGTTATTTGTAATTTTTATATATCCATCTACCAACAGGTTCGCGAGAGGTTAAAATCCGTTTTGCAGCAAGACAATTTTGTCGTGAACGAAGAAAATAGTCCTAGTTCCAAACAACTGTCGTCAGTGTGTCGTGTGGTGTCCATTCATCAAAAGAAGGAAGATCAGTTAGAACTACAATTACTTCGTTGGGGGCCAGTAAGCTCCCGGAAAATGACTACAACTGTATCAGTTCGCAATGAGACTGACTTAGATTTCCTGGCCTCAGTTCGTAATAATTTAACTATAGACCACCATCTTTTGGTGATTTCAACCTACCCTTCACCAACAGGCCTCAAAGAACTCATCTCATCGTGGCGAAAAGAACCAGTACGTAATAATGTTAAGATGGTGACCATCGACAGTACAAGTACTGATGGTCTTGAAGAACAACTTCGCAATATTGAGTTGGCGTATAATCATGTGGCCAATGTAAGAAATACATTATTTTTCAATTTATTAGTCAATGTTTTCAATATAACAATCCCTCCATTGTCTTTTAGGGTAAATTAGGAGGCGAATACTATTTACCGGTGAAGCAAAGTCCGAAGAGAAGTCAGAACGCTACGTTGCAAGCTGTACAATTTGGTGATTACAATTCATTAAAATGGGTCAAAGCATCTGAATTGACTGGGCCAGGAGTAACTGTAAATGTGCGTATATTTTAATGAAAATTAAACTTAAGTTTTATTAACCTTATTTTAATATCAATATTTATAATGTTCTTAGGTCCATTATACTGGCATTACTCTCAATGATACGAAACAAGCTAACGGTTCTCTGCTCTTCAAGCAACATGTTCCTAATTACTATGGGATGGACTTTAGTGGAATCACGGAAAGGTAAAATTCCAATAAAGAAAAAAGTAAAAAATGATCAATCTAACATCCTTGTACATAAGTAGTAATGTTGTATTTCTTTACAGTTTTGAGCCTGTAATGGGAATAGTACAGAGTGGTGCAGCAAGTACTCAGGTACGAGCACAGCCTGATTTGCTCTGGCCTGTACCTGCTCACTGGAATCTCGAAGATGCCGCAACAGTGCCGCTAGCCTATGTACAGGCATTCTACATTCTTGTAAGTGTCAAGCACGATCGGCCCTTAAAACATCAATAATATTATATGTACTTAGTTATACAATATGTCAGAAAGTACCTATACATGTTGTTTTTTGTCATTTCAAAAGGGAATAAAGGCCGGAATTCCTCGAGGCAGGACAATATTTGTACATGGAGGAGCAGGTGCTCTAGGGCAAGCAATAATATCAATTGCTTTGGCTTTAGATTGTCAAGTGTTTACAACAGTCAGTGATATACGTAAGAAGCAATTCTTGCAGAAAATATTCCCGGCTTTAGAAGGTAAATTGATGGATTTTAAGTTATTTCTTCCATAAAATAAGCCATCTTTTAAGCCGTTCCGTCTGCCTACTATTTTAGTTTTTAAATTAATTTATTTGTTTTATGTTATGTTCCTTGATCATTCATAATTTCGACCGCGATTTCGGTGATTTTTGGGACCATGTTATGTACTAAATAAACAACATATCTCGAAACTAAAAGGTTTAAACTAACTTGAGATCGCTTATCGGTCAAATTTTAAAACGTTTTGAATATCTTATTTTATTTCGTAGACCAGTATAACTTGAACTGTCAATGTATATAACTTTGTGCCATGGCAGGTTAAAATATGTACTGGACTCCTGCCTTACGTGTGCCCTATTTGTTTCAGACAAATAATATGCTTTCCGTATTAAAATACATACATTATTTGATTATTGTTTCTCGCACGCTCTTTATAGACATCATTACCATATGCATTATTTGACCGGCCTGTTGGTATAGTGGTTAGCGACTCTGACTGCTAAACCACACTTCGTGGGTTCGATTCCCACCCAGGACGACTAATTGTGTGATAAGCACGATCATTTTATTTATAATATGAATGTATTTAGAAATATGTGTATGTTTATCAGCAGTCTGGCTACCATAGTACAGGCTGCCTAGTTTGGGATCAGTCTGCGTGTGTGAGATGTGTGAAGTTATTATTATTATATCAGATAAATGATTTCAGCTGACAACATTGGATGTTCACGTAATTGCTCGTTTAAAGAAATGGTTCAAGTAGCCACTAAGGAAAAAGGATGCGATATTGTCATCAGTTGCGTTACAGGAAACCTGAAAGACGTAAGATATCATTTAAACATATTTCATATTCTTTTAGATAGATATCAATATTCTTTATTTTACAAAACACAGCTACTATTAGGTATTTTTACTGATAATAATTTCTAATATCTAATAATAATTCAAAGAAAATCTGTGTTAAGCAATTGTTTCGTTTGCTTTTCACCGAGTGATGATACCTGAAGTTGTCTCTGTTTCTTCATTATCAATTGACGCGTCAACTCGTTTGTCTTCAGTACCATAAAAAAATTAATTCTACTTGTATTTACTCCAAGATATGCAGGTCTCTAATTACTTCTATACTTACCGACTTCTATACGACCTTGAAGTCGATTAAGTATACCTCATTCTGAATCTTATTACTTGGAGTTCTGTGCTGTTTTTCATTAATTATATTCATTATTATCTTTCTTATAGGAATCCTTCAATTGCACTGCATTCGGTGGCTTGTTTTACGATATTTCACAACTGCAAAATAGGGACGAATATAATTTTGGAATGTTTCACTTAAATAATGAAAGGAACTACTTCTCTTTGGACTTCTCTACAATATTTGAACCTAAAAATAAGGAAACCCTGAAAGTGAGTATTAATGTACTGATTAATTATTCATTAATTCTTAAATTATCTTTTTAATTTATACCGGATGGCGGTCATTCCAAAACGGATATTCTCATTAAATAAACTACAAGATTAGCCGGGCTACCGTAGCATTGTAGTTTACTTGCTCTAATAATGTATTATTTTTTACTTTCTAAGATTTCGGTTTGATGCTTAAAGTTCAATTTATACATACACATATTGTGGATGGGACACAATCACAGTCAATGCGAATGAACCCCGTTTTCCTCATGGACCAACTATGTACGCACAACTAGTTGTGCCATCCCAGAATATGTTCTTAATGACACAACTATGCACAACTAAGCACAACTGATTTACTATAACCATTCCTTTTAGCACAACTACAGGAGGAAATAAATAATATTATTACTAACCTCTTCAGATATTGATGATTATGTTGGCCACCTCTGTCATATCTTTATATGTTAACAAATAGAAAATTATAAATGCCATTTCATGTCATTAACTATCAGTAATTATTTAAAAATTATTGATATATTATTTTCGTGCATACGCTGGCGAATATCCTGACTGTGAGCATGTCTATGTCTACGCCAGAAGACGAAGAACTTATATTCATCGATAATAAAGGTGGAAAGATTGCTTTATACAGCGACTATCAGTACCATATATTTTTGCGCTCATGTCTAACAAAAAGGAGAGTAGTTACGTCGCTTTACTTAGCATTATTAAAATTCGAGTCGGGTGAAAATTCATTGCGATTACGAAATTGCATTTATCAACGCGGTTACAAAGATGTTCCCAGAGATAAAGATTGTAGGTTGCTACTACCACTGGATGCGCAATGTATGGAAAAAGGCCAGACAGCTTGGGCATCATACAAAAGTAGAAAATAGAATAATAGGAATGTGTGCTGCTTTGCCTCTATTGCCAGCGGATGCTGTAGTTGCAGGCTGGGCCTATATTAAATCCGAATATGAAAATACCAACTTGAAAATGGTCAATTTCATCAACTATATACACAGGTTTATGAAAAAGAGTAACTTTGTTCCCATAATGTCCGTGTTCGGAGAGCGTCACCGCACTAATAACGTTGTAGAGTCATGGCACTCTACCCTAAATTAACATCTAAACAAGAATACTGTGACTGTGTTAAGACTACTAAATGTTCTCATAATGCTAGAGAAATACAATGTTGTTGCAAAAGATCTATGTTCAAGACTCCGGAAAGATGAATATAAGACGAAATTATTCACAACGTGCAACTTCAATACATTAATGGACTAATCACATTAGGGCATGCACTAGATAAGCTTAGATGAATGGAAATACCACTGTTTCCAATTGCGCTACCCAGCCATCTCACCTGGGAGTAGACCTCTTTTCGTTTTCTTTTTTTTAAATATCATTAACATATGTATTTAGTATAATATATACCATATTAAATGCTTACGATAACCATAACGATGTATTTCCAACTCCTCCAATTTTCTTCTGATTAATTTCGTTGCGGGTTCCAAGACAGTTTAATTTCTTCCTGGGACTTCCCGAGTGTCATAACTCGGTGTGTTCGTGGGTCACTGCTGTGGATCCTGGTGTACAGGAGTTACAGTGGTGGGCATGTGGGCGGGATTAGTCCCATTAAAAAAAAAAAACCATAACGATGAATTTTTGTACACCGATTATAATTAGTTGTGTCTCTAGGAACTAATATTAATTGAAAATTATTTAGTTGTGCCAATAGGAATGATTTAAAAACAAAAATCCTTATGACACAACTAGTTGTGCATACATAGTTGGCCCATGAGGAAACAGCGGAATGAACGGTGATTTATTATTAGATTTTTTCGTACGTAGGTTAGGGTACTACTTCCTCACGCGTTTGTGTTAAGCTATTTTCGGACGATGCACATAGACCCTATTACGCCTATTTAATAGTAAATTTTGTAATTATTATTATTAAATATAGCTACCATTTCCTATATATTAATTTAAAAAATACTAGATTTACTGTTGAATAGCGTCTAACCTACCTACCTAGCAACCCTAACCTACGTAGGCAAAAATCAAATGATAAATCATAGTTCACTGTGATTTTGTCCCATGTCTAACATATGCATATATATATTATTATTATACACGTTGAACGAAACCTACTTACATCTGGTCAGATAATAAATAATAAAATTTATTTATTATTTTATTATTTATTATGTGACCAGATGTAAGTATGTTTCGTTCAACTCAAACTCAAACTCAAACTTTCTTTATTTCATAAAATTTTCAAAATTGTTTGAAATCGTCTTCCATGTAGACTCTAAAGTCATAGATCAACACACACAAAAGCAACAATCTCTGTTTTGTCAACGTGGGGTATATCGTAAGGTTACATACTGGAGACTTGCAGTTCAATTTTCAGGGACAACAACTGTTAGCTCATAGTTAATTAGTAGTTGAAAACTACTTTATTATTTTAGGGTGTTGATTAAGTGCGGTCCATGGCCCTTTACGGGTGCCCGGTATGGGCGGGGGCCCTGAAGGCCAGCAACGTCGCGATACTGCGACGACCGCAGCGAATGCTGGCCATCAGGATCATAAGGGGGTACCGCACGATCTCCTTTGAGGCAGCGAGTCTCCTGGCCGGAACTCCACCGTGGGACCTGGAGGCGAGAGCCCTTGCGGCACTGTATCAGTGGCGCAAGGAGCCGCAGGAGTTGGGTCGATGCCCCGAGATTCGAGAAATCGATGACCGGAAATCCCAACTCCGCCAGGTCATCATAGGGGAGTGGAGGGAACGACTCGGGCAACCGAGCGCTGGGCACGCCGTCATTGCGGCGGTAAGACCCGTTATGGAGGATTGGCTCGAGAGGCGTCACGGGACCCTCTCATACCGATTGACGCAGGTGATCACTGGGAAGGGATGTTTCGGAGATCACCTGTGTCTGATCCGCAAGGAGCCAACGCCTGAGTGCCACCACTGCGACGGCCAGACCGTGGACACAGCTCTCCACACGCTGGCAGAGTGCCCGGCGTGGGTTGAGCAGAGGCGAGACCTCGTGGCGGCCATCGGAGTGGGAGTTCTCTCGCTCGATAGCCTGATTGCGGCTATCGTGCGGAGCGAGAGTGCGTGGAACTCTGCCGTCTCCTTCTGCGAGCAAGTTATGCTCGCGAAGGAGACGGCGGAGCGGGACCGGGAGAGGTTTAGAACTCTCCCGGCCCGCCAGGCCCGGGCACGGGCCAGGCAGCGCAGGCGACTCAGGCGCCGGAGGTCGCAGAACGACATCCGTCTTCCATAAGCGCAGGCCTGGGGGTGACAGGTGAGGCCATCTGTCACCCTAGCAGAAGCAGGCCGGGGTGGCGGCGAGCGCGTTGCGAAGCGCGCTCGCTTCCAGGGAGCACAGGGAACATGGGGTTCCCACACGGGGCGGGGGTCGTCTACTCGTCTGTAGATGACCCGAAGTATGTCGGGGTACCAGGGTCTTCCTTTCTAGGGTATACCTGGTTCCCCGGCTATTAGTACCCGGCGAAGGCGTGCGGTTTTAGTCGGTTCGAGTCGGTGGTATCCGAGGGGATTCCCGCACGGAAACAAAAAAAAAAAAATAAAAAAAAAAAAAAAAAAAAAAGGGTGTTCATTAAAGTTATGTTTCTAACATATTTCATATCAGCACCTGTTTAGTGTGTTAATAGTTGCAATGAAAATTGCATGTTTTATAGAGAACGTTGCAAATTAAACTCTGGGGTCTGGAAAATAAACTTTATATTGGGACAAATCCATTTATTCACAATAATAGGATACACTTTTATATCTTCATACGAACTGTCAATTAACTTCCTAGGTCGACATCCAAATTCAAGTCTCTTCAAATGTCTCCTTAATATTCTACTAGGTACGTAGCCTTGTTTTGCTTTGAATTTTTTTTTTTTTAGAATCGGTTTAATGGTTTAAGCGTAAAAGTAACTCACTTTCACATTTATTAGTATACCGTATATAAATATAGATTAATTTGACATTTCAACAATAGTAATTAATAACCTTGTCATATGTATATTATAATATATCCCATAGAGGTTAATATGCTACAACGTACTAGTGATAACGTTCACAGGCTATACACGTAATGGTAAGCGAGGGCATCGCACTTGGCTACGTTCGTCCTTTGTCGCGCGTAACGTATGCACCGAATGATGTAGCGCGCGCTTTTCGAGTTTTGAATGCCAGCTCTCACAGGGGTCGTGTACTGCTTCGTATGAAAGGACATATTATTGAAACACAACAAAGGTAAATCGGATCAATTTTTTTAATTGTTAAACCTGAAAGTAAATGACAATAGCAAACTGTGACGTCACAACGGGACACAGCCAATCGATGTCCTATTGTATATGTAGTGGTGACAAAATATGCAATTGTTTTCCAGGTTGTCTTGCAGCGCATATCGTTCCAACTTGATACTATGTAGCGGATCGCCGTTTGGACTACAACTTGCCGAAAGACTTGTGGCTAGAGGGGCTAAACAACTGTATCTTCATGTTAATAAACTGAATGAATCAGCTTATGTACAACACAAAATACGGTATTTATACATTAACTAAATTGTCCGTGACTTCGATGGCGTTGAATTGTGTTTATCTCACTCTAATTTTCCTAGATGAACGGTAACGGAGATTGAAAAGGCGCGTAAGAGCCATGTGCAAAACCGCGTATAAATTTTATTTGGAGAAAAAATATATAATATATCTTATTTACACACATTTTTGCGACTCAATTTCTTTAAAATTATTTTGCATGAAATTAACCAGTATTTCCATTATCCGAGTGTGTGTCTAAATAGTTTGCGACTTTTACAAATAAGCGGTATTGCAAACTAATTTAAGTATAAAAATACTTCAAATTTAAAATTTCCTTTTCATAATTTCAAGGACTTATAGTTTTGGTCGATTATGTCAGTCACGCTTTACAGTAGTCCCATGTGATGTGTAACATTCACCTACCATATGATGGACAAATAAAAAATAGCGCGTTCTCATTGGTCAAATAAAATTGCGCGCTCTTGCCCATGATAATGTAACATACTTCTGTCCTTGTTCACTAACTAACGCCTCATCTTCATCATCAGCCTATCGCAGTCCACTGCTGGCATAGGCCTCTTCTTTTGCACGTCACTCCGATCGATTTTCGGCTTCTCGCATTTAGCTCTTGCCAGCCATCTTACGCAAATCGTCACCCCACCTGGCCTAACAAACCTGGCCAAGATTTCATAGTACAAACTTTGTTTAGTTTGAAACTAGATGGCGTTGTGTGTCAGATGTCCAAAAAAGTACAATGATATTTGACTTTGACATATTGTTGTCATCATATTTTTCTTGTTTATTAAAGGTCTTGGAGAAAACTTGGTGTTAATGTCGTTATATCTTCGGCGCCCTTGAATAGCCAGCAAGCTGTAGCTTCTTTGCTAACCAGTGTATTACGTCAAGGCCCTCTAGAAGGTGTCTATATAGATGCAGGAGAAAACAGGACCGATGTTGATCATGACTTGATTAGCAATTTGGACTCGGAAATAAGAATCTCATGTCCCGATATATGGTGCGTAAAATTAATGTTTTTGATTAACATACCTCTAAGTATACATACAAGTATTCTTTCATTCAATCTAACTTTCATAGTACAAGCTCTGCTTACTAAATATCTTATCGAAATTAAACTTGAAATGTATATAAATTAAGGATGACAATACTATAATTTGGCATCTTGGAGTTGATCCGACTAAGGGAGGAGGCACTGCAAAGAGAAGGAAAACTTGAAACAAACAATATACCAACCCGTCTGCCCAGCGTGGTATAGTAGGCCAACACTTCCTCTTTAAGGTGAGTCCATGATGGTGATGATGTGGGGTCAAAGAGCAGACAGGTCACCTGATGGAAAGTGACTAGTCGCAAACGCGTTGCCGCCCATTGACGTAGGATTAAGCTCTTTTCTTGAAGGTAGTGTCAGTCCGGAAATACTACAGGCGACAATTTGTTTCAGAGGTTAGCTGTGCGAGGCAAAAAAATCTTGAAAAGTGCAAAGTGGTAGAGTGCCAATTATCTAAGTGTCTTAGTAGCGATAGTTGAAGTATTGAAAACATTTTTTTTTAGGTTTTTAAACAATAATTTATCAAGTTCATAGATAACCTAATTGTTTAATTTTCTGTTTTTTAGTTACTTTACCGTAATCTGTTTTGATGATAATTCTAATGGCCAAAATGTATGTCTGAGTCGAGCACGGCAATCGTTACCGGCGACAATGGTTACACTGCCCGAAATGGATAACGTAAGAACGTAACTGATCTCTAATCTAGACATATATGTTAAAATAAATGGCCAAGCCTAAACCGCTGAGACTACAAAAGAAGTTTTTTGGCTATTATTGGCTATTTTTGGCTTTTAGCTGATGCTTTTTATGTTGGAAGCACCCACTAAGAAAGCATTTTTGGAAATTTCATCCCTAAGGTGGTAAAATAAGGGATGGAAGGTTGTATGGAAGTTCATTTTAAAGTTTGATACACGAGCTAAGTCATGGGTAAAAACAAGTCCTGTATAAACTTTTTAGACAACGGTATTTTCTCGTCAACATGTTTGCATACAAACGACTTTTGTTTTGTATGCGACATACGACATATTTTTGTAAATAAAAACTAGCCCTCCTAAGCATAATTTAAAGACGTATATTGAAAAGTGCGTACTCTATGCGGTAATATTGAAAAGTGCTTGAATTGTGAACCACAAAAAAACTTATGTAATAAAAGTAACATTGCACAAAATATTTTAAGGTATTTACTTTTGGAACGAAGTTCCTTATCGCGCGTTGTGAAAGGGGGCTAGACGAAAAAAAATCTCACGAAAAGTGGTAACGACACTTTTATGTCAGTCATTTAGCGCCATCTATCGATTAGATAGGAAATCATTACTTTTCATCTCAGTATTTATTTTGAATTGTCACTTGTCAGTCATTCAGCGCCATCTATCGAATAGATTGGAAATCATTTCTCAAGGAGATTTTACCAATGTATAAATTGTTTTAATTAGAAACCAACTGAAAAATATGTAGGTAATAGCCGCTTTCATAGATGGCGTTGTAATTAAAATCGTGTCGAATCAGTTTTACTCGATCGTCACAACTTCGTTCCTATCGGGTGTCCCACGACACCACACGACTTTTTTATCTCACCTATGCTCTCGTTTGTCAATTAATTTCAAATTCAATTAGATATTTTTTTTAAATTGATTTTCGATAAAATTCTCAACCGTTTCTACGTCTTCTTTGATATAATATATATAACTATAGATGAACACAGGTACAGTCACTGCCACAATGTAAATAATACAACAAAAAAATTAAAACAGAGTGTGATTGCGTCAATGTTTAAGCGCTGCTAATGGGAGCTGATTAGGAGTATTGCCATTTAAAATGTCGCCCCGCGGTGTTACCCGCCGTTGTTTTTGTACCTTGCTCATTTCATACACTACAGGAACACAATTTTTTTTCAGAATTTAAGTGTTCTATGTCCTATTCCAGACTATAATCTATCTCAGTGCCAAATTTCATCCAGATCCGTTCAGCCATTTTTGCGTGAAAGAGTAACATTCATACAAACTTTCGCCTTTATAATATAAGTAAGATGTATCTTCTTTTGTTCAGGAATCGTACGGCAGTTACGTAAATTGGCGCTGTGCGGTAGACGCAGTGGAAAATGCTTTGCAAAGCACTCACGGTGTGGTCTTAGCACATGGATGCAAACAAAAACCTTCCCTTCTAAAGCAAATTGCCACGTTAACTGGTTGGTTTATTATAGTTTTATTTGTAAACTTCAACGCTTTTTTATGATAAAGGGGTAATATGCATATTTTCGCCCAACCGCTTATAGACAACAGTCTGAAAATACGTAGGCTAATGCTTAGAATCCCTCAGGATGTTCTGTGATAAGAGCATACTAAACTAGAATAGGGTACGGCACTAACCGCATCTCTGAAATTCAGCAGACGCAGCGGAAGAGGAAGATGAAATAACTTTATAGGAAAAATCACTGCGTAGGTAAAAGGCCACACCACCTTCTCTCCTCTCTATCCAGTCATTCCGGATAAGAATAAAGCCAGGTATAGAGTATGAGGTAGATAGAAGATGTGGTTTGAGCCAAGTCTCGGAGATAAAAAAAAGCCGTGTGGTGTCGTGGGACACCCGATAGGAACGAAGTTGTGACGATCTAGTAAAACTGATTCGACACGATTTTAATTACAACGCCATCCTACATATTTTTCATATTTTTCAAATTGGTTTCTAATTAAAACAATTTATACATTGGTAAAATCTCTTTGAGAAATTATTTCCTATCTATTCGATAGATGGCGCTGAATGACTGACATAAAAAGTGTCGTTACAACTTTTCGTGAGATTTTTTTCCGTCTAGCCCCCTTTCACAACGCGCGATAAGGAACTTCGTTCCAAAAGGGGATGAATATTGGTATCACAGAACGCCTTGTACAAATCAGTGAAGAGGCTAGAGTCTTTGAGCATTTAGATGACACACATTAAATAACTGGCTGTTTTTGTTGCCATATAATTTGTTGCGTAGAACACCACCGAAAGTATCTGGTACAGAGGAGAAGCTTTCATCACTCAAACAGGTTTCATATTCACAGGCAGAAACATAACATTCACTCTCTGAAGACAATTAATTATTAATTTACTAGAATTAGCGGCAGAAATAGCTTCTTCGAGTTCATCCGTAACAGGGATGTATTTTTTTGTTTGTTGTCACTTATTTATATAAATATTTTGTTAGTTATTTAAAATAACATTTCATTCAAAAATATTGGAAATTAAAAAAGTGACGTTAGTAATTTAACATGGATTTATTGTATATCAATTTGATCTTTGCTGAATGTGGCGGCAATAGATGCATTTATGTTTCAACGATATTTTTGTGCTATGAAACTCTTCTAAGCCAATTTCCATTTTAGCGTTCAAATATTTATATATTATTTTCAATGTGGATTATGTAGTATAACGGTAAAATTATTTTGTCTACAGATATAAGTATACCAGAGAACGCTGCAAAGAGTCTAACTTTAGAAGAATTAGGTGTTCCAAATCATAAATTGCAGTCACTTTGCACTTTCTTGCGAGTTCAGTATAACCTAACATTTGATCAAGAAGAAGTTCTATCGTTAACCATACAATCGTAAGTACTCATGTTTTTTTTCCATATTTTGCTTATATTGGCTACATGCCTTCATTAAATACTAGCTTTTCACGCCGCTCCGCTTGCATATATAGCGCTTATTGCGGTCAAAATTAGCCAATGTGCCTCACTGATAATGTAGCTTTCTATTGGTGAAAGAATTTTTAAAGTCGGTTTAGTGGTTTAGGCGTGAAAGCGTAATAAATAATAAAATAATAAAACTTACTTTGGTTTTGCCCGCGGCTCTGCCTACGTGTATGTCGGTTATCGCGGTTAAAAGTAGCCTATGTTACTCGCTGATAATGTAGCTTTTCAATCGTTGAAAGAATTTATTAAATCGGTTTAGTATTTTAGCGCGAAAGCGTTATAAACAACAAACTCACTTTCACATTTGTAATATAAGTATGGAATTATGAATTATACGTGCTTTCATTTCTCGTAGTGAGCTTTGAATTTCATATGAACCTACAAAATATTTTGATTTTCAGAATATTGGAAGCAGAAAAGAAAATAATAGACTTTACTTATGAAGATATAAAAGGCTTAAACACTTTCTTCAACTACGTTGGTCCTGATGAACTTCTTGCAACTAATGAATTCGTCTTTTTGCCAACACTCGTGAATATAGCGTCAATGGTGTGTACAGAAAATCCTAAAATCGTCGATGTAATATGCTTATTATTCTTCATTTGATGAAATATATTTCAGAGAGACGACGAATTTCAACAAGACCAAATTAATATCTGTATAGTGCCGGGGATTGAGGGTCATCACGAGCGGTTCCGCCTTTTCTGCGAACGCCTGAAACTGTCGGCTATCGTTTTGCAACCCGGTCTTGACTATCCACATGAAACCGTCCGGGAAACAGCTCAAAGGTTTACTGAGGTAGTGTTGTTGTTTTATTTTAATAAATATGTATAATTTTAGCATTGCAACTTTAACTACTACTGTCTCTCAAAAACATTTTAATCCATCCAAAGGTTGCCTGGAAGAGATTGCTCTTGGCAATAAGGCCCCCTTTGTACATTACAGGTCTGAAATTTTTATGTACCATAATACCTGTAAAATGTGTGTAAATAAAGAGTTATCTATCTATCTAACTATGTAGTCCTATCAAGCCCAGGTCCATAGAGTTGTGTAAAAGTGGGCACAACATTAGAATTAAGGTATTTGATATATTGTGAATTAAATAATTACAGTAAGATTCATTGTTTTCTGCAAATTTACAGAAAAAGCCTTTCAAATTGCATCATGTTTTTTTTGTAGGTGTTGCTGAAAAAACTTGGAGTAAACAATAGATTTTATCTTTTGGGCTATGAAAGCGGCATTTTTGTTGCTCTGGAAGTTGCAGCTATCCTTGAAGACCTTGGTAAGTGGTTTTACTTTATCGTTATTTTAGTAGCAATTAATTCAGTTCTAATAGCTACTTGTTTAATTTTTAGGTTTGACTGGCAAAGTTTTTTGTGTTGGATGTACGCCAGAGGATCTTAAACACGAGTTTAAGGAACAACTATCAGAATTTAAGGATGAGAAGCAACTACAAGACGCGGTGTTGCGGCACATGTATACGTTGTTGACAGGAGACGATGCTAGTGAACTCGACGTAGCACTGGCAAACATCACCAAGTGGTCACTGAAAGTTGAAACTTGTGTGCGTACTCTTCTCGGTAGAGTTTCGCATTCAGCGCAGTATGCACGTGCGCTCATAGAGTGTGCACTGGCACGAATTACTCAAATGAGGGACTTTAACTTTGTACCCCGGCCGCTGCAGTCTCAAATTATACTAATACGCTGTGCAACAGGGCATGCAACACAACATGATACAGTTTTGCAACATGTCTCAAAACAACCACTGGTTGTACATAACCTAGATACGCCGCTTGCACATGTTATAACGGATTTACGTTGTGCCGCGATTGTGAATGAACATTTGGATCCTGCAATACTCGCAGCCTTTGCGAACAGAAATATCTGCGATACCTATCTAATGAATGCTTGTGCATTCATGACGATTAATTATAAAAAAAAAAATTAAACTTACTGCTTTTGTTGCTCTTTTTAATTTTAGCATTAATCTTACTTTATAGCATCATAGTATTGTATCAGAAGTATGTGTTGTTTTCCATATGTACTTACCCGTTGAAGAGTATCACCGAAAAAAATTAAAACAATAAATTACTTAGCAGAAAGGGTCATCTTTAATATTTCAAAAATTCAAAGTAGTCATATTAAAATAAAGATATTTTAAGTTAAACAATAGAATGAGTTTTTTTTCTGACATAGGGGATAATTTGTCCCGCTTTTCTGCTTTTCCGCCTGTTGGAATTAATACAATATAATTAATTATTTTTTTTTGGTATATGGGGGCAAACGAGCAGACGGGTCACCTGATGATAAGTGATTACCGCTGCCTGTGGACACCTGCAAGAGTCGCAAGCACATCGTAGCCTTTTGGCCCGCCCCTTTCTCCGTAATCAGAGGAAGCGAAGGTTTGGTCTCCGGTAATCTCACTGACTCGGTGAAAAGTAAGGAAATAATAGCTTGTGAGGCCATGGTAAAGTAGTTGCGAACTACTCTCAATCTCACAAATGACATAGAAGGTATTCTTGCAGTGAAGTATTACTAAGACGAGCCGAATACCGACTCAACTTTCGGTCACAATACGATATAATCATATTACGTCAATGTTGGATGTTTAATACTTTTCTACGAGAACACCTTTTTCCATTTGGTAAGGAGGGGCTCCACAGTTTGAAAGCAGGATTGACATCGTTATATTATTTTGTTAATTTTAGAACGCTTGCTTAATTTTTTTGCCAGCTACATGCAAGGTAGGCAGCAGTACGTGGAATACGGGGGGCATGTATCGGAGCCATATTTCACCAGGTCCGGCGTAAGTCAAGGTAGCAACCTTGGGCCTCTAGAGTTCATTATAATGATTAATGATCTACCCAGAGTAGTCCAGGATGCGAAATGCTTACTGTTCGCAGACGACCTCAAGCTCTCCCTCCCTATTAACAACTTGGAGGACTGCAAGAAGCTTCAGACAGACATAGATAGGGTGGTAACCTGGAGTAGAGACAATCTCTTGCAGTTTAATACCTCGAAGTGCGTGGCTATCACCTTCTCACGCTTACGCGAACCCATCTCGTATAATTATAATTTAGACGGGACACAGATGGTAAGGGTCACAGAGGTTAGGGATTTAGGAGTTTGTGTTAATACTGAGCTAAGATTTCGTGATCACATAGTGAAATGCTGTGAAAAAGCTTATAGGAATTTGGGTTTTGTTTTACGAACAGTAAAGGACTTTAGAAACCTAAATACAATTATAGCATTGTATAACGCGTTGGTAAGAAGTCAGCTAGAGAGTAACGCAGTCATCTGGGCCCCACATGAAGCTAAATATAGCCTCATGTTGGAGCGAATTCAAAATAAATTTGTTAGGTTTTTGTACTTCAGATACTATGGAGTATACCCATTGTATCCATTAATGTATCCCACGTTATTTATTCTGGGTATGGTGGGATACAATGAACTGAGGGTCAGAAGGGAACTCACACTCGTCTCGTACCTGTTTAGGGTACTTAGGGGTGGGATACATAATGAAGACGTGTTAGGACGAGTCAGCATATGTGTTCCGGACATATACGTGTGGCGGCGCCGCCGGCCGCCGCTGCTGGCTGTCCCGTGCGGGCGCACCAACCTGCAGAGAGAAGCACCGCTGACGCGCGCACTACGTACTCTGAATATAATTGCGGATGAAGTAGATTTATTTTATTGCTCACTGAGTGAATTCACAATAACAGCATTAAGAATTATTTCTTATAACAAATAAGTAGATGGTATAACACTATTGCATTGGGCTAAGCCTGTAAAAATAGTTGTTTTTAAAGAAAATAAATAAATATATTTAAACCGCTAAGAAACATCATAAAATATATTTCAACACAAGGATATTAAATTTTAATTCTTTATGAAATATATTATTATGCCTACAAAAAACACTATATATTTTATTAATATCTACTTAAACCTTGGTTTTTGTTTTTTTATTCATATTATTAATAGTTTATTTCATACCTCATGTTTACGACGTTTTGTAATGGTTGGTTTACTGGTTGTGTCTTGCAGTTCCAAGCGGTGATAGGTATTAACTTCTTACTCAAAATGATAACCAGTAATATATGCATAGTTTAGTTTGAAATATACATTAAAATAAAAATGTTTTAGCTCTTATTCCTAAGCCACAAAAAGATTTACAAATGTTCCAACGTTTAAACGAATTGTTAGCAGATGTTGATGAAAAAATTGAAAATGAAAGAAAAATACTATCCGAATTTAATAACGATAATTACAAAAAGTCCCTCGTATGGAGTTTGTGGTTAAAAACTTCTACAAAGACTTCTAAAGCTACTTCAGTTCGGAGCCGCAACAAATTTGTGAAACCAAAACAGACGAAGTCTCAAGCTAATCAAAAAGCTGAAGGCAATCTTAAGATCACAGATATAGTTTCTGATTGGCTTGCAGGAAAATCTAAACGAAAATTTAGACTCAAAAGATGATGAAAATGATTACACTTATTAAAAATGTAGAAATTAACAGAATAAAATCGATAAAAAAATATGTAAATTTGTGTTTAAAAACTGAATCTTGTGTTAAAAAGATAGATCCTTTTTATTGGTAGTCTCACTGTCATCAGCTCGCTGAGGTCAATGGCAAAGTCTAATATGTGACCCGAACTGACTAAAACATCACGATCTTCCGTCCCAGGGTCTTAATGCAAGAGACACTGGTAGGAAATTCATGGTCACCTATTAAACAACAACAGTCAATCCCAGTGTAGTGTGGGAGCTCTTCGCAATCCGATTTACATCACCGCTACACATCATGTCACCATTTTGGCCTACCTCACGCAAAAAATAGATCCTTCAAAAATGTGATCTTAACAGAAATATATAAATTATCTTAGTTAAGAAAAATACACCCAGCCGAAGCCATTCTTTTTGAAAATTGAAATCATAAATGACATTGACAACTTATAGGTTAACTCTTTCTGGTAAATACTAACACTGCTATTCATATTTTCAAGAGCTTATAAATTTTCTTAGAAAACATTCCTTCCTACAATCAAAATATTATCTCGCAGAGTCGTACATAAGAGGCCTTATACTAGTTTGTGTTAATCAACCAGGCTGATAGACAATGAGTAGACTTCTTAGAGATTATATCCACTCGAGCTGAAAGTATTGCATAATATTTATGTCTTTCACTTTTCACTTTCATACAGAAGGCACACAAAGGTATAAGTCCAAATACAAGTTAAATAGATAGAAACCGCATTAATCGTGAATTTAGGTTAATATAAAGTGAGTGAGCATGTTAAATCTTTTGTAAAACATCTGAACAATATAATTTCAATTATTTCCAAACTAACTGTAAAGTACATTGTGATAATACAGGAGATATTTAACTATTATTTAAATATTATTTAAAGTATATAGGTATTTTACTGCAAGTATAAGTTGGATAAATGAATTCTTAAAAAATACTATTTGGACATTTAATTTAACTTATTTCTCTTTTTAAGTGGTGAAGTCAAGATTCCTCGCTGTTGCTAAAGAACCACAAAAATTAGTAGGCAACATAGCAGTAGCTTATTTATTATTTTCCTCTGCCTTTAACATTGTGATTGTTTTTTAATGTTTGTATTATCTGCAAATATTTGTTTCACAATTTGGGTGTTTTTATAATAATATGGTATGCATTTACAAAAAAAAAGTGTTTATGTATTCTATCAGCCAATCTTGCTTTCATAGTTAGGCTCTGCTTAGTTTGAAACTAGATGGCGTTGTGTGTCAGATATCGAAAATTATTATGTTATTATTATATTAAAGGGAGAGGAAACTTAAAAAGCATTTTTTAACTTATTTTGTATTTTTTAAATGTTATTGTCTTAAGTTGGCAATTATATTTTCTTAAAATATTCTTTATCGTTGGATAATTAGGTTATGTTTGTTTTAAATTTTACTCTTTTATAGAAATCCACAATAGAAATACCATGTTGCAGAAAATGCCATTGCTAATAAAAAAACAGTGAAATTTTTATAGTTTTCTGATATTGAGAGTTTTCACAATTCATATTAGTTTTATTTTTATTTGGACGAATAAGTTGGATAAAATGATTGTTTTAAGTATAATGGTTATGTTAGAAATCTTTCTAATAAGGGGTAGTTTTTTTAAAATTCATTTTTATATAAGATACTCGTATCTACCATAAGAGTAAAAGAAGAATTTAATAATTTTGATATACCTAACTTTTGTGTTTTCAATTTAGAAGAAATCGTCTCATAGTAAAGGCAATTTTCTAGATGCGATGTTTACAGAGCAGATGAAACCACAACTACTTGAAATGTCATTAATACAAGTAAACCAATTATTAGCTGATATTGATGCCAAAATCAGTATGGAAAGAAATTTATTATCTAAACTAGACAAAGAGAATGATAAAGGTACATAAATTTTATTAAGACTAACTTATTTGAACTTCATTTATGGCAGTTATCATTAAATCAAAACTAGTATATATATATATATATATATATATATATAAGTATGTTTATCAGCAGTCTAGTTACCATAGCACAGACTATGCCTAGTTTGGAATCAGACGGCCGTGTGTGAGATGGGTAAGATATTATTATTATATAGAGATATGCTTCAGTATATTGGGCCAGGCTCGACCGGATTGATATTGTTGCGTAATAAAATTCAGTGGTTCTTGTGTTGTGTCTAGAGGACAGCGCTATCTAGTCTCAAGTGAGGCACAACGAACGCTACGCATTTAGATTATGGTTCTTAATTCCGATACTTGCAGTGCCATCTAGTGTCGAATATCGGAAGATTATAGAAATCTGTAGATTCCTTATTGTACGTGGTTATGTCTGTAACATTCCATCGGAAATCCGGGATCAGTCTAGTAATTTCGATAGCACTATAAAAGCGGAGAGTATTGGCCGTACTGAACAGTAATGTTTTATTACACAGTGAATTTCTAGTGCCACTAACGAGTTATATAGTGATTTCTTGTTTGTAATAGTGAGTGTTTATAAATACAGTGCAATAAAAGTAATTAACCGACTACTTTTCTTTATTGTATATCCCACTAGTAACAATACTGCGGCCTCACAGAAAACCGGTATCAAGCAATCTTTCTTCTTCTTCTTCCTCGAGTAAGTGAGGTTACCGGAGCCCAAACCTTTTCCCCTTGATTCTGGAGGTCGGAAATCTTAAGCCATGGGCGACGGTGGTTACTTAACATCAGGAACACGTTAGCTCGTTTGCCTCCTATACCATAAAAATGTATTTGTGTACTTTGTTCATTTACACATCAATAATAAAAGCAAGTTGACAAATCGAACAATTATTATTTACAGATTACAGGCCAATGACTAGTAAATTACTTGTAGCAAGACATGGTTCAACACGTAAAAAAATAACTAATGACACTCACAATCCAAAACAATCGAATAAAAAAAAGGTAACTACTAAAAAACAATTTAAAAAAACAATTAAAAAACGAGCAAATGTATCAGTGTATAAGATAAAACAGGATAGGAACAGAAATATAGCAAAAATACTGAGACACAATGAAATAAAAGAAAATAAGAAAATTAGAAATGTTGTAGCAATTTCAAAAGCAAGAGCAAATTTGTCAGAAATGTTGCGGCAAATATTCCCAGAAAGCGGAGTGATTCCGTTTATTGGTACGTATACTATGAATTTTAATATGCAAGATGAGCTTGCATAGGAATAGTTAAAAAGTTTTGTATTAAGATACTTGGACACAATATTTTAGGATATCTCAAGACCTGACAAAACAAAACATGTTTTATAACGCTCTGTGTTATCTTTATTGACAATGTCAAGATACTGAAAGTTACATGAATTATATTTAAAAAATATATTTTTACAGTAGTAAGTCCTATAATAGGCTACTGATTAGGTAAAATACATGTTGTATGTAGTTGTTTACTATCATATATACCATGGGTTGGAATTCTCTCATCATTTATGTAAAGTGATTTGCTTCACGAAATGACTCTTTTACATTTCATAATTTTTACAGATAGGAAGATGATATTGCGACGACGAATGAAGAAAAACTTTAAAAATATTGTTGAATACAATAAATTGATACGACATTTTATTTTAAAGCATTCAACGTTATTTAATACATTTGTAAAGCATTATGAGCAAAGACACAAACATAGACACCTTAGTTTAAGGCATCGCAAAAAACATAAGCATCGACACCGTAGTAATCATAGGCTTAAGAGCAATATAAGACTGGCGGTCGATTTGAATAACGAACATCGAGTGGAAAATGAAAGACCACCAAAATCACATAAGGATATAGTTGGACAAGCTGCAACCCCAAATCTAGATAAAGAAGAAAAAAGATTTAGAGTAGAATTTTTAGAACGATGCAATCAAACTGGTTCCAGCATTAAATTGAAAAGTTTTTTAGTCAATAACAATGACACAAAAAACTTTGTGGGTTTTACGAAAAATGGTCATACAAAAATTCAAAATTTGACACAATTTCATGCCACTACAAAAAATCTAATCATGAATAATAACATTTTCAAGGAAATAGTAGAAGAATCTAGTTACAGCGACGAAGAACTATATTTGAAAACTATGTTAATGGATGCTTTTTTTCATGGTAATGCTAATTTAACCAGCAATCTTTCAAAACGATGGAACTGAAATAAAAATTAAATGAGAAGATTTTTGTAGAATTTTATTGACAGCAAATTAAGCAAATTAAGGACAAATCTTTGTAAATAATAGAACAGTTATTTATTATTTTGATT